TCAGCACATATATCTGGTTACTGTGGTTAACAACTAGCCCCTGTTAACCATTTTATTCATGTTAATTTGTTTTGATAATTCCACAAGATAATTTTACCTAGGAACAGAAAAAAATCTTTAGAAAATATTTATCAAGATATTTTGGAGAACTGTTGCATTTCTATTTACTATTATTTGCAAATTGCTTCTGGAAGTGGTATATAAAGCATATTTCTTAGATTACTAAAAGCCTTGCTTCAACCCCATATTTTAAATCCCTGTCTGTTTTGTGAGTCTTTTTAGTCTCTGCCCAATGTCCACAATGCTTCATGCTCACAATGCCCTTAAGCCCTGCAGAATTGATGTGGGTGTCTGGGGTTTTGAGCCTATCTTGTTTTGATAATTGCTACCAAAAGTCCCTCTTGAGTCCAGCATCCTGTTTCCCACAGTGACAGGCCAGATACTTAGGCAAAACCTACCAACAGGGCTGGATAGCAGGAGGCCTCTTAGAAGGTTTTACCTAAGCACTGTCACTCAGTGGTAGGTTTGGGAGCTGGAACTCAGCTTGCTCTGGTCGGCTGCACTACTCTCTAGTGCTCAGCCCTGGCTTGGGAAGTGAGCTGAGCCAAGAGTTCACGAACACCTGTGAATGCTGGCAGAACTCCTCTGGCACAACCACAACCTGCGTGGCACAAGCACCTGCCGGTCACACGCATGGAAGCGAGGTGCTGCTTACACAGCACTGGCACAGGCTTGATTCCAGAGGGCACCCCCACAAATGTTGAGCATGCCTGTAACACCATTTTTTAAATCCAGGAAATTGCAGGCAGGTTAGCTTAGCATCTGCTCCAGGTAAATTGCTAGAAAGCATGATTAAGGATGCTATTCCACTGACCTTACATTAGCAGAATGGGTTCTTCCTTTGTCCTTCAGCTTGAGAAATAATTTCTAGGAAAAATATGCATATTGAAAATGCACCTGACCTTTTTAAACAGTGGCCCACCAAGGCAAACATGCATTTTGGCCTGCTGGGCTTCCCCACCCACATTTTTACTGTTTTAGGCAGGCTGCAAAAAAAAGCAACGTGAGACTCGGGTGGCCTACAGTGCAGGAGATGTGCTGCTACTGGCTTGGTGGCTTGGAAGTTGCTTGTGCTTGAAATAGCAATATGCATACAAAGCTATGATGACCACGCTGCCGATGCTGCCTTGTTTCCAGAGATACCGATCCAGAATGCAGCCTAGGAAGCTAGCAAAGGAAGAAATAATGATCTACAGCTGGTGCTGTGAATCTGCCCCCCTTCAATTTGCGGACTTCCTCTCCTCCTTGGTCCTGCCTTGGAAATGAGCCAAGCCAAAAGGAAGTCCGTGAGCGCTCACACAGTGCAACTGGTAATCCTCTTCTTCTCCATGTGCAGCACAAACAGAGGCTGCAAGTCACGTGCGCACGGAAAAGAGATGCTGCTGGTGCAGCAGATCTGCAGGGCTTGATTCCTGGCCAGTACCACGCAAATGGATGGTGAATTTGGCAGGATGCTGGACTCATGGCTGTGAGAATGTGGACTGAAGCCTGGGGAGCCAAGTCCAAGAAATCCAATGGATTCTCATTCCCAAAGTGGATTCCTCACACATCATACCCACAGCCAATTCAGACCTAAAAACAGAGACAGGGTGTTCAGAAGCCCAAGCAGCATGAATCTGGGGCTTCATTTTTTTTTTTTAGCACCTAACATAAAGCCCTTGAGAAGCTCACATGTCCAACATCCCATCTGGAAAGCTGAATTGATTGGCAAAGAGTATAACAATCATTTAACCAGATACTGTTGCCATGTTTCTCTAGTCTGAACCACCTTAGAGCACAGCTCTAGAGAGATCTTTACAAATATATCCTAACCACCATGATGTCTTTTAACCACATGGTAGCTGGCCCTATCTGTGGATTTCCTGATCAAACGTTTTGTGCTACCAGCCTGACTACGAGGCAGGAAAGTTGGGTCTGTGGTCTCAGGGGTGGCTCCAAACCCAGAAGCATTTTCTGTGAAACTTACTCAAATGTGGACAAAGCTCCCATCAGAATATAGAACATCTGCTCATCTTGCAGGGCTACTTGAAGTTTAGAAGCTGTGCAACCATGTAAGGCGACAATGATGCACATTGAGCCATGCAGTTTACACAAATTCTAACGCTTAATTGATCTTTGAATAGCCTTGGAAGTTTGGAATTGCAGGGGGTGGAGCTGAAAGAATGGTTTGCATCTCCTGTTTCCTGGCTTCTTCAGTACACTCAAAATAATATATGCCAAACGCTTCCTCAGTTAGATCATTGGCGTTCCAGACTAGTTTGTTTGTTAGTCTGTATTGAGCCAGAATGGCACCATCCATGTCCAAGAGGGGCAGAGAAGATACCAAGACTCACAGTTATCCAAAACAACCTTAGGGAGGGGTAAAAAAAAAAAAGCTGAGGAGGAAAACCCCTTGCAAACAAACAGCCCAGTGAGGACCGCACATGCTCAGCCGGCCTGGAATATGATGAAACACTGGGAGACAAAAATGGAAAACTGGAGGGAAAGGAAATGGAATGGAAAGTCTGGACTCCTGAACAAAAGCATTCTCCATTGCAACACATTGTGACATGGCCCAGTTGTACAAAGCTTTGCATCTCTGCTCCACACTTGCAAATATTTATGTAACGTAGCATAATCTAAGTGAAAGCTATAAAGCTCAGTGAAAAATGTACCCCTCTTCATTGGGATGCGGAACACTCCAGTCATCAGTCACTCCAATCGTATACGCCTGAAGTGTAAATCTCACAATTGTCGGCTTCTTAAAAGCAGGTGCATTTCTATCCAACAAAGGGTCTCAAACCTCCCTGGAGTCCCACCCACAAGCAAATAATCACAAGCAAATCTCAACTATTCATGAAGCATAACCCCAGAATCATTATTAGGCCCATACCATTAATCAGCCAAGATCATTGATGGCCTTCTATGTCACTAAAAGCCAACAGTGGATGGGTAAATGTATGGATATTTGATAAGCCTTTTCTGTAGTTTATGCATAACTGTTTCTATGGATATCTGCATTACTACACCTGTGTATGTATTTATGGGGATGCACATTTCAAATATATCCAGTGTAAGTGATTTATTTAAGCACTATAAGCAATTGTATGTTTTGTTTGGTTGGGGGAACATTAAAAAATCAAAAATTAATAACAACAAATAATCTTTTACCTACACTACACTGGAATTATGTTCATCTCACCAAGGAAGAAGACAACAGAAGATTCTGTTTTGAGTGTGTAAAATATGCAGAGAAAAGGAGTTGTGATACTGTTGTTTAATCTACATCTTTGATTGTCTCAAGCGCCTCTATCTAATCCTTCACAGAAGTTGAAGGCATTGTTTTTCTGCTAAGTGTCACTTTCAGTTATCAGGTTTCTTGCAAAAAGGGTTCACTTAGAAGAAATTCACATGTTCTCAGAAATCTGGGCTGAGTTGCTGCTGCAAAATTGTGATACTTTCCCTGGCAGGCTCATTCATAAAGTCTGTGAGTGCTGTGTGTAATGGGATATTGCTGTAGATGTCACAGGCATTCTGGACGCTTCCAGATGGAGGGCTCCGAGTGCAGCATCCGGAAGGCACTGTGCAGCAGTTCTGGCTTTTCTTTCTGCATTAAGGAAAAAGATGGAATAAAAAATGGAAAAACTGGGGAAGGGCATGTCTGGACCCCCTGTAAGCATGCAGGGTAAGTTCTTGACTCCCCTGGGGCTGAGTAGAATCTACATTGGTATGGGTGTTAAGTCTTGGAAATGTGGCTCAGCAGAAGCAGCTGTGTTTTGCATTGTATATCATGCCTGAAAACCAGAAATGAGTGGATATTAATCCTGAAAGAAATTAAAGATATGCCAGTTTGTGATACACCACCAGACCCTCTGGGAGTCCTTTTTGCTTAGTCCATAGAGACAGCATCTCCCTCTTTGGGTGCCAGACTCCCCTTTCCCCAGGCCCCACCTCTTGGAGGCTACAGTGGGCTGGTGGAGCAGCTGATGAGGGGAGTCCCCCTGTTTCCCCCCATCCACCTAGTACAGATCACAGGGGGATTCCCTTTGCCTAGTGAACCAGTTGCCCTCCCATGTCAGATGTGGAGGGGCATACCAAGTGGTTTTCCCACCCCAGATCTTCCCCACTGTAGCCTGGGCTGTGGTGAGGGTCCCTGTCCCACCTTCCTGGCCACTGACAGGGAAAGAATAGCTCCTTCTGCCCCCTCCCCAAAGTCACATCTGAGCCTGGAAAGGGGAAAGGGGGGCATGTGTGAGGGCAGGAAGCTGGGGCTGTGGGCCTGCACTGATCGCTTCCCCACAGCCCCATTCAGGTGGCTGACAATAATCACCTGGGTAACATACCTTGCATAAGGTGTGACGGCCGTGGGGCTTGCTGCTGCACCTCATTCTGGGTTCGCGGGTTTGCATGCACTGAGTGTGCTCATAGGACCGCACCCTAAAATGCTGGCGTGATGGGAAGAGCTGCCAGACAGGATGCTCCTGATGACCTGGGCAGCCGCCTGTCCGTGCTTTGGATAGTCGCAGCAGGACCATTTGGCATCAGCCCTGGGACTTTACGGTGGTTGTCATGTGTGAACATCAGCTTCATCCGTCCATCCTTTCTTGTTGGCTCAGCCATGCTGGTCATGTCTCCCACATGTAAACAGTTGCACAACTTTTGAGAGATATATTATTGTACTCGTAAGTACTTTAATGGGTCCACATCAGCTGATATCCTGTCTCTCCATGTATGTAGAAAAGAATGAGGATTGGCGGGCAGTGGGATGGGAACCAGCCCTGAGTACTGAGAAATGGAAAGGCCCAGAGAGGCTGACTCCCCACCTGCCATCAACACTTCTTAGAAACGTAATTAATTATAACAATATATTCATTATACTGTACAGCATGCAGAGAAAAACCTTTTTATTCTAATAATCCTCAAAATAAATTTCCATATAAGAATAAACTTCAGTGAAATATCTTATTCATTTATTTATTTATAACATTTCTAGACCATCCCATTACTGAAGTCTCGGGATGGTTTAACAATACAAAATGTAAAAATAAAACACAGTATGCCAGGCTGCAAAACATAGCCTTTTGGAATTTATTTATTTATGTCTATACCATCCAATAGCTGGAGCTTTCTGAGCAGTTTACAGCAATACCAACAAACAACAAACAAATGAAATGAAATGTAAAGAAAATAATGTTTCGCATGAGAGCATACTAAATCCTTTTAACAATCCATACATGCTTTCTCCTTTTCCTTTTCTTCAAAGCAGAAGTAGGCAACTTGTGGCCCCCCAGTTCTTGCGGTGAGCCAGTATAGGGACCGGTGAAAGAAGACGGGAGTTGAGATAAGGAGACCTGCAAGTGGACCAGCCCTGCTTTAAATGCATCCCACACCTCTCTGCTTTCTTTTACTCCAAATGCAGTGAGGTCAGGCTCAGTCCAACTGCCTGCCCTGGGGCAGAGGCACATAAACCCCCAAACTCAGAGGCTTATGAGCATCCAGTGGTAGGACTGAAGAGTGGCCCTGCATTTTTCCTCCCCTGCAAACTCCCTATAGATGGTCATTTTCAGCCATCTAGATAAAGCGCCAGGGATGGGACTTCAGCAGGAACTGGCATAAACTCTCAGCCCCAGCCTCCTCCTTTCTGCCCTCTGGCACAATCCTTGAGTGTGTTCCTGAGGCCCAGTCATAAGCTCCGGCGGCGAGAGACAGCCAGCATGCTCTTTGGCATTAGCTGCAAGGAGGGAAGGGCAGGGCTTGGCCTTTGGAGCCCCTTCTTTGTGACTGCAGGACCTCAGAGCTGGGACTCCAAATAATCCTGTGGCATCCCAGGTGATGGCTGGAGGCCACAGAATCCCTCTTGATGCCATTGTACATCCCACATTCCATATTTCCAATTTTCCACAGAAGGACAGTTATAGAACATATATAAAATGTGTGTATCAGGAGAAATAATGTTCAAGTGTGTGTTACGTTAGGCACATTTCTGGCAAATAATGTGTATATTAGGCAAAAGAAGCATAAAAATACATGGATTTGGAGAAATGAATACAAAATGATTACAAACTGTCATGCGAAAGTCGCATTTACAAAGACATTATCAAATTTCAGGATGAACCAGTCTTGAGATAGGAACAATGAGAAACTGGGATAAACTGAAATTGACAAATCCCTCTGTATTACTCCTTAATAAAGTTCAAAAGAAACATCACCTGGAGCAAAGGCATTTCATAGCCTCAAAATAGGACTTCCAATAATCAATTTTGCTTTGTTTCTAGAATTTGAGCTAAGGAACATTTATAGCATTATGAAAATGTCTTTACACTTCCAAGAAAGAATGGAATAATAATTATTGATTTTGTGTACAAAAGCTTGTGTTACCATATCATCATAATCCTATGACACGTTTCTCTCAGTGTCATGTTCAAAAAGAAATTATGACTTTTCTTCCAACTATTTCCCAACATTTCCATTATTTAGCCTCAGATGTGAGACACTAATGCCTGCTATTACAGTGCACTGAAAAATTATTTTGTTGAACTGAAAAATCAGAGCCATAACTGCCAAAACAGCTATGCAAAATTCTAATAAACAGAGAGACATGCAGATGTCAAAAAGCACATTCCTTCTTCAGTTTCAGTTTCTACATAAACTGAATTGGAATTGGTCAGGAAGAACGCTACAGCTTAATACTGCTGTAAGCCCTTGTTTGCATGGAATAACAATTCCTGGGTACCTGCTGCCACGCAGCCCTTAAGATTCCTGGGTTAAACAGCCCAGGAACTGTTGTTCTGTGCAAAATGAATCTAAATATTTCACACATTTTCCTGACCCTCTTAGCTCGGGAATTCACTTCTGTAGGTAATGCATCATGTTATGTTATCAACACATAGCTAACATAACATGACTGGAGAACTGTTTCAGAAGGACCAGATATGGTCTATACAGTGGTTCCTGTACAGTAACAGTGGACTACTGACCCTCATGTATATAGAGGGCTCAAACCATCTTGATTGTAAGATAAAATCTGAGGCATAAAAGCTTCATATGAATTTTAGAATTTCAGTTTAGAACTCACATTTTGAACTTCACATGTGCACTCCGTGGAAACTGAAGTTCAGGAAGCATGTATTTGGCAGACCATCAACATAAATTTCACAACCTGAAACAATTCTGAAACTACATTTTCATTCTGGGAAATTTCAACAGCATTATTCTTTCTGCGCAACTCTACAGTAAGGATTTGGTTTAGTCACATTGCTGCGATTCCAATTGGAAGTCATGTCTTCATAGACTGTCATTCGTGCTTCATGTTTCTTTCCTTTTTTGCAGTATTTCTTGATCTGCTAAACAGACAGCAACAAAAAGGGAGGCATTAACTTGCATTGTGAAGGCGGATCTCTGCCAAAGTACTACCCATTTTCACTTTCATGGGAAAGAATCTTCAGCTTATCTGCTCTGGGATGCAACCACTTTGTGGTTTGTTTTCTACCAGCTGATATCTGATCCAGTATCTCTTCTGAAGGGAGGGTACAGCATGGCAGAAAATAGGCCTGTTTTCCTCTCGATAGCCCAGCTGTTGCAGCAGTTTGAAAAACAGTTTCCACCTTTGCAGAACTGATTAACACTTACAGCATTTCTCCTAGCAGAGTACAACGCTGTGAGTATGGAAGCCTGGGGAAACTCACCTAAAATAAAAAGTGATTTTCATCATACTTACGTCTTTATGAAACAGGATACACAATCCCACTGTAGAAACCAAGAGCAGGGACAGGATGATAATGATGTACAGCATCCAGGAAGATGAAGAACTCTGGGAACATGAAGACCTCTTTGCGAGCACCATTTCTCCTTCGGCTTAAGAAAGTCAGAAAAAAGTTTTATCATGCTACTTTGCATACCAGCCTATTTTGAAAGAGCAACGAAGGAATAAACCCAATTGCTGGACTGAAATGTTGTGTTCCACTTTGTCATACCTAGTTTCACCATCACTATTACCTTTTATGCTAAACTCCCCAGGAAATTTCTATCATGTCTGTTATATTTAAGATATAAACATTTATCCCCATGTTGGAGAGAACAGCCAAAGTTTCCTATCGCCCCATGGCAGATCTTAGGAAGCCTTTGAGGTTTCTGAGTAGCCAGCACAAGGCACGAGGCATGGAAGTGGCGATTTCTGCCATCACCACACCTTGCAGCTGTGGGTTATCTAGATAATCAGTTTTGGCTGTCCACATTTAGTACCAAGAAGGCAGAGGAAGGAGGCAGGCTGCCATTGGAATCAGCATGAGTGCACAGCCTCAGCTTCCATCCCCACTCGGAGGCCCAGGTGTGGCCTCAGGAAGGTAGGGTCAAAGCACCTTGATATCTGGACTTGGAAAAAGCCTGGGGTCTCCCCGGCAGTGTTGCAAAGCCACAACATTGTGCAGATAGTCAATATTCTGTGTGCTTGTCGTAAATAGTGCCCAACTTTTTCTTAACATCTGATGCTTGGGCTTTGCTCACAGATCAGGCTACCTAACTTGTCAGCGTACTTCTCTTCAGAAAAAGAGCTGAAATGTGACGCGCCCATAGTCCAGGACTATGGAGAGAAAGTGGATCTCCAGACGCTTGGGGCCTCAGCTCCCACAGTTCCTGACTGTTGACCATGCTGGGATGGGCATCTGGTTGTCGAAGGCTCAGCTGTCTATGGATCTACCTGCTGCCCACTGCTGCTGAGTACTGGAAAATGTCCAGAAATGGGTTTTAGGCCAATCTTGTATTGAGCCTACAGGCAAGAGTTGAAATTTCTGGACCATCAATAGAAACACTTTCTCCCAATTTAATTCTTCAATAGCTGCAGCTCAATGATTGTCATGAAAATACTCAGTGTCTCCTCAAAGAAAGAATATGTGTTTTCGATAGGTTAAATTACTGTCTAGTAGGGGAGCACTGCAGTTTCAAGAACTGTGCAGCAGAAAGATTTGACACATGCGTGATTTTCCCCACCATAATGGGAAAAATGGCTCCCACACATGATTCCCCTGCCTGCTCTGAGTTGTGATTCTTTAGTAGCAGGAAATGAGGAAGGAAATGGAGATGGCCAAACAACAGAAATAGCACCCCGGGAACGACCCTGTGTGAAAGAACAGAATCAGCCACTTCAAAGGGAACGGGCAAGTTAATTTTCTTTAACTTACCGTATTGCCATGAGGAGTGGAGGTTCAAAGGCAATAGGTTACCCTGGTGTATGTGCAACTGAGTTTTTACTTAAGAAAAAAAATTAATCATTGATACAGACAATCTGGAATTGACTGAGAGAAGCTTATAACGGCTGGCACATTTACGCATGCAAAATCAGCATTACTAGTAATTCTGAAACACTGGTTGATCGGAAAAGGGAATGTTGTGTATCCATGTCGGACAAGTTTTTCCACATTTCCATCAGGTAGTAATATTTGCATACTTTGCTGTGTGGGCAGGAAGCTGGGAACCTTCTCTTAAGCAGCACTCCTGGTCTCACTGATCTGGGCCAAAGTTCCGCTGGACACGGTGGGACATAGCAGGACCGGGGAATACAGCAGAGCAGCATCCCAGCATCAGGTAGGTATATACGATGCTGGAAGTCATCAGAGGAGACCTTGCAGATCCTTCCAAAATCAGCAGAATGTCTCTGTTTGAGGCCTCCAAGGCAGACCTTCCTGGTTTGGCACCTGCCCTGTGCAAATTACCCTCATGCAGTTTGCAAGGCAGAAGATGCAGCATCTTCCAAAAGCCTTCTGAAAACCCACTTTTTATCCAGGCATTCCCTGGATTGTAAGTAAATTAAGCATGCTGCTCTTGCACTGTATGAATAATACTTTAATTGGAAGTGCCTTTAAATTCCATTTAATACTGTGATGTTAAATGCTTAGTAGTATAGAAATATTAAACATAAATGAACATTGCAGGGGTGGGTAACATATTCAGCCCCGAGGATGGATGCAGTCATGGTCCAAGGCTACATGTGTGCACATACTTGCAGGCACATGTTTGTCTATGTGCTGTCAAAACAAAATGCAAGCTATTCTGTCTTTCGCGTTACTTGTAGAAGTAATTATGGCTCTCGTGTCATTTCTGCTGCTTTTATATTTCACACATACAAAGTCGGGATGGGTGAAAGAGAGACGTTTTTGCTCACTGAGATTCTGCAAACACCAGCTCAATGCTTGCTTTTCTTGGTTTGTGGCTACCTTTGCAGTAGCGGTTCATTTTGTGCAAATTGGAGAATTGCACAAAGCAAACCACGATCAAATGTGAACACTGCACAGAATATTCCTATATTGGTGCAAATTTCTCCCCATGGGTGAGTTAAGATTTGCGCATTTTGAAAAACTGGTGTATTTTGCTAGCACTCATTTTATGAGTATGAACACAATTTGGGCATTTATACACATCTTTGGAAAAACTTCACTTCATTCAAATTCACCTTTGGAATTGCTAATGGGGCATTTCTAAATGATTTGCAACTGAAACTATGTTACAATACCCCTTTGAGAGAAAGCACCCACCTTTCACTTGCAGCACGAAACATAGTTTTTGCAGTTTTGACTCACACGTGTAGACACCGGTGTCGTTCATCGTGAGGTTTTGCAACCTTATTATTGCAGTGGAAGTATCTTCCTGGAAGTATTCCGTGCGATTTGCAAATTTAAGATTTTCTTTCTTGGTTTGATCATAACGTCTAACATACAGCACATTAACTGTGTTACAGATGGTACCTGAGCAGATTTGTTTCAAATACATTGAATCAATCTTATGACTAAACTTGCAGGTAATATTGACAGAATCCTTTTCTGCAACTGTGATGATTCTTAGCTCCTCATTGGCCACATTTCCTGGAAAGGAATAGAAGCAATATTGTCAGACAGAGACTTCTCCTGAATCAAGGCACTGTGTTCAGCATAGTGAATTAATGGAACTTGTTTCTGTACTTGCCTCCATTGACTTCTATGGGTCTTTTTTATTACACACACACAAAGCAGGGATGGGTGAAAGAGAAGCATTATGATTTTGTTCTTGGTTTTCTGTTCCTTGCAAGTTATCCAGAGACTTTTTTTTAGTAATGGATGGCATAGAAAACATATTAAATAAATAAACAAAATAAATTGCTTGTCTTTCTTGGTTTGTGGGTACATTTGCAGTTGCTGTTCATTTTGTGCAAAATAGCAACTGGACTAGACTTGTTGCTATTTAAATGTATTAACTCCAAATGTTGAAATGAGGCAAAGCATGTTGGGGTTATACAGTCATTGGATTTTTGTGATTATTTAGATATGGATTTTATGGATAATTGTGTTATATTGTTATAATATGTGTAAACACGTATAAACCTTTCTGAGAGCAAGTACTGAGACTATGGTCTAGAAAAACCTTAAATGAGTAAATAAATACATAAATAAATAAATGTTGTTTCTTTGGAATGTTAACTAGTTTCAATATTGATATGCAGGGCGTTCAGGATTGTCAGCCATGACTGGAGGTCACCTGGCTCAGAAAAGCTCTTCTAGATAGTTTGACTTTAAAAAAAATATATCAGAATTGGCTGTCTGGAGTACTGAGGAAGAGAACTCCATATTGTACCTCTTGGCTGTAAACCCCACTTGTCTAGTATCTGTTGCTCGATTTGGTGCCTTCACTTGCCACTCATAGGAGGACTGGGAATAGGCGAGTCACCTGGGTTTCTCCAGGTGAATCCAGTGGAATGAATCCAGGTGTGACCGGATCATGAACATTTACGCTCACAAACATTCTGAACACACACACAAACCTGGCTTACGCCTCATGTAGGATTTCCCATCCCTGCCTACAGATAGCCAGAACAGGTTCAATCTCTTTAGATTGGAAGTAAAACCATGATTCCTTTCTGGAGCCATGGCCACTGAAGAGTTAAATGTGTTCATTTTCCCTCTAAGTGAAAGGATATGCAAGGTAATTCCCTTACACCTACCTTCTGAAGCTGAAGTTCCAAGGGAAAGCAGGAAGAGAAAACACATGAGCATTGGGGACATTCTGCAGAAACCTCTTTCTCTGCCTGTGTTTCCACCCGTAAGTCAATGCGCTGCTGCCAAACTAACTAGCTCAGTACCCGAGGAAATCAGGGTTTTGAGCCACACATTCACCTCACTGATGCAAAACCAAGCAGCCAAACACGTCACATGTGGTGGTCACAGTCATGGGAGATAATTTGTCATTTAACAAGTTGAGGAAGACATTAAAAACTCCAGCAGGGCTAATCTTTATGAAACAGTCACAAAGAAGCTCTTTTCTGGTGCTTTCTTAATCGAAGGTGCTTCATGTCATTTCAAAGAAGAGGGTATTCCCAGAGACAGCACAATTCAGACAGCCACTGCCAACCTAAGACCTCTAGAAGTTTTGGACTAAATTCCCAGCATTCTTTAGCATTGACCATCAGCCTGAAGCTGATGGGATTTGAAACCCAAAATGCTTGGAGGGCACCAAGCTGGGGAAGGCTGGATTAAGGAATGCCCTCCTCAGAGAGCTTTGCCTGTTCCTCACACTGCAGTCTTATCTGCCACCGGGGAAAAGATTGCTGTATCCAGGCATTTTAATTTTTTGCAGATCCTTGTCTGCTTAGAACAGTTTTATTGCTGCCTCTCTTTGTTATGTTGAGCTTGTGAGATAAGTTTTGTTGTACACTGCTCTGCGATCCAGATACAACGGAGGGTAAGTCTTTTTGTACATACATACGTGCATACAGCAACCCACCTTTTGACTCCTCCTGACGTGCAAAGCTTATTTCCACTTCATTCCCTGTGCATTCCCTATCTGCAATTAAGTAGGATAATCGTTGCTGACTCTCTCTGCAAGAGATGTCTGTCCAGGAATTCCTCTCGTTTTATTTCATCTGTTGCAAAGCTTTGGTCTGCTATGTTAAGAAGTGGAAAATCTTCCTATATGCAGGCTACAAGCTTATGTACACTTAACCTGATGTAAGCCCCGATACTTCTGAGGAATGTGTGAGACTGCACTGCACTGCTGATATATTATTGGCAAGTATAACTCCTCGGATGGACTCGACAGCAATGGAGTTGCTAGCTCACCTAATAGAGTGATGCATTTATTAAAGGGGTGTGCATTAGAGCCAGCTACATCCTGAATCCCATGTCTGTCCAGGATGCTCTGGAAAGAGCCTGATGCTCCCCAGGTGACATGGTGCTCCTACTAAAGTGATTAGAACAAAAGCTGGATTGTCCCAATACCTCGTGTGACTTGGGTGCTTCAAAGGGCTGCAGAAACCCCTATAGTCAGCTCACTAAACCACTATTTTGCTTTTGCTTTCCCATATGAAAGAAAATCTGCAGGGGCCGAGTGACTGCATTTTCAGGTCGGCCTTTTAATAGCAGGGAACTGTGATACAGTACCTACACTACAAAGATTTCTCTTGCTCACATCTACTGCACCTTTCTGATGAGGCAATGATGCTAGCTAGTGCTATATAATTTTGTCAACAGTTATAGGCATTTTCCTTGAAAAAGGAAAAGTTTTAAGGAGACTCACAACCAAACCTTTGCACCTTTCCTTCTGCAACTTGGAAGGCTTCTTACCAAGGGATAGCCCTACCACATCTTCTGTGCCCATAGTAATTGTCCACCAAACATGGCATGATATTTTTGCCACTTCAAAAGTGTAGCTATCCCCCTTGGGCACAGAGAGCTCTGCACTTGCCTGCCTGAAATGTGGCTGGTTCTTTCCTTTCCTGTTCGGTCAAAAATTTAAACAGACCAAGGTTGTTTGCTGATCTTCTGTGAGAGCCTGTGGGAGACAGGCCTGTTCTTTCCCTGCCTCACTTTCAGTTCTTCTCTTAGTCAAACTGAGAGGAAGTTCATCTCTTAGTCAAGCTGAAGTCAGGGTTTAACGCCACTGTTTTCCCAAGTGACATATCAAGTCCAAACCAAATCTTGTTCTTCATGAACTCCAGTCAAACTCCCACTAAAAGTACAGCTACCTTTGATCTTGAGGATCTTGAGATTTTTTCTGGGGAGCCATCTAGCGTATTCTAATTTTTGGTTGATTTAGCGAATACCTTTACCTGCTAAAACCTCCAGTACAATGTATATTTAATATGAAGTGGATCATCAGGGAGTGGTCACAAACCAGAGTGGAGAGAAACAGAATTGTATTTGGAAAAGAGCTTGATGACACTGTTCAGAAGCCTGCAGTGACTGGAACCCGAGGATCAACTCCTTCTCCTCTCCATTTTCTGTCTGATGCATTATGGCTGTCCATCCACTCTTATCTGAACTGCAAGATTCTCCAGCCTGGCTCAGTTGTACACACCAGGCTCAGAAAAAAATCAGTTACACCAAATATCACTTTTTCCCTGCAGGTGTTTTGGTTTGTTTTAAAGTATTGGACAGAATGTGGGGGACATCCTACATGAAGGGCTGTATTTCTGCAATCCAACTGTGCATTCTAGCCCGATCACTGGGATCTGATGACGATGAGAGCTGATGTTGCTTTCTACAATCTCAGCAGCAGCACCCTTATTATGCCATAGCTGTAAAGGGAGCTCAAACGCTTCTAGGGGCCAGCTCAGTATGGCTGCCTGTATTGTACCCTTCCAGACTTGGAAAACTCCAGGCATCCAGTGGAAGATGGGAGGAGTGTGAGGCAGGGATTGCCTTGGTACTCCCTTCATTCCCAAAATCACATAGACAGCTGGTTTTGCCCATCTAAGTGTTCCCTCCCCTTTGTGAGGAGGAGGGGCTGAGTCACTCCCTGGATTTAGAGGAAGCTCACAGTGCCTCACCTTCACAGGCAACCCCCCCCCACATTCCCCATTTTGTCTGTATTATGAGCTAGGTACCCCCTCCCCAAAAGGCAGGCATTTCAGCAATTATTGCAAGTCTTTATTCCATACAGAAATCAATATATCCACAAGCCTCGAAACATGCACACCAGGTGGAATGTTGACCCCTCGCTCTGCCCCCTTCACCCAAAGCTTTGCTTATGAACCCCTCAGGGCCAGTCTCTGGAGGGGGTGCATTATGGGAGCAGCACGCCACGTTCTTCCCATTGGGCCCCTAACTGGTCCAGCTGGCGGGTACATCAACGGGCCCTTGCACCTACATCTCCTGAGGTGTCAAGTTCTCCTCCCGAGCACCCCTCCCCAGCCTGTTCTCCACCAGCTTCTTTACCACCATCAGGAGTGGGAGGGGGCTCAGTGGTTGTCCTTGAAGGGCTTTGATCCAGCGCTGGCTCGGGCAGGCTCACCGGGAGGGTTTGAGCAATTGGGACCTTGCTAGTCTCAACAACTCCAATATCAGAGCAAGGACTCTGAGCCACAGTGATCCAGTCCCTCCCCACCCCCACGCCTGAGGCGTCATTCCCACCAAAGCCCTCCGTCTCTCATGCACGTCTGGGAATCTCATCCGAGGGCGTGCACACGACAGTCTGGAAGCTGGCCTTCCATACAAAGAATTGTGCTGGCTGAGAGGATGGAGTGGGGCCTCTGAAGGCAGAGTCCCTGCTGCGACCTTGGAAGGCTTTTCTGATCTTCTACCTCAGGCTCTGCTTTTGCCTATGGTCAACCAGCCAGCACGGTTGGTCACAGGATCGTTCCCTTCTGGACCAAGCAACATGTTAATGGGAGCCTAACAGCTGCGAAAAGTCAAAGGAAACAGGAAAACTGGCTGCAGGACAGGTGCTGGCAACTGGAGAAGGGGCGGCCATACTGAACTCCTTCCCGCCCCTCATTGCCCCACTCAGGTCACGTTTGGAAAACTGCTTGGGGGAAATCACCTCTTGAAATGTATTTAAATTGACATGACCTGCTATTTAATTAAAGAACTAGGAGGCTTTTGTCTTTATTTACAAATATAATTTGACCAGGTTTCTTTGAATGGTTTGGTTGAATAATGAAAACAGTGAGGTGATCTATTAACGGAGCAAAAACAGGCAAGCCGATCCTTAGAAACAGACTGTCAGAATGTGCTAGATAGGAATGGTGAACCGGCATTAGAAACTACATGCAGTAAATGATACTAGCAATACATAGATCAGTCCATTTCCAGGCCCTGCCAGTTTTTCGAGAAGTTGAAAATTAGCTTGTTCCATCTCATTTTCTACAACTATAGCAACAACAGTAAAAAAATAACATTTAAATTGTACACATTTCTCCCATAAAATACATATTTTACAAACATTTTTACATAAAATATATATTTTGTACACATTTTATTTAATGAATTTAATGAATTTAAAGTCCAAATTTCTATGTGCATTTTGACTAGCTACATGTTATATGTCTTTCTGAGCAAGAACTGCATTATAAAATCTGGAAAATGGAAGCGGAGGTATTGCTAAGTTCCAGTTAGCCTGGCAAGTGTGAATCATTTTGTTTAACTCAATTGCAACCCTCCTCTATTGTCATATGATATTAATATTCACATGCAAAAATTACAATGTGATAAAGAAATGAAAATTGTAGGTTCACAGATAGCTTCACAGTCTTGAATGCATCTTTGGTTCTGATGGAAGGCCCACTAGGGAAGTGTTTATATACATGTTGTTCAGCACTATTAATATAGACAGCAACAAAACTTCAGCAACATCTGCAGAAAGAAAATTTAGGAAATGGCAATAATCAATACATATACCCTGATTCAAATACAAATACACATATCCAAACAGCAGTATAACCCTAAGTAATATGCAATATTTACAAAATAACATTCTGATATAAACAGTGACTGGGTTCACTAAAGTGTGCGCTATTCCTGAAATCTGAGCTATTGTGGCTTGTTAAGCATCAACAGCTCATAAAGAGGACCCACTTAGCGTTTCTCTCTATTGAATTTCATTCTGTTGTTTGCAGCTCAGCACTCCAACCTACCAAGATCACCTTGAAACTTCTTTCTGGCTTCCTGTGCCTCCCAAACTCATATGGGACTGAACTGGTGCTCCCAAATGTGGTCTCCTTGCAAATATCCCTCTTCCTTCCCAGGACAAAGTGGTCCCCGCCTTCCTATCAACCCTGTTGTCTAGGTAACATCCCCCTGGATGACAGTAAACTGCCTAGGAAGGCCTTGGTAGTTATGGGCAGCCCATAAATACATGAATACATTACAAAAACAATAACCACAACACAGCTTTTGTTCACTTCTGGGAATAAGATATTGTGCAATTCCCACAGAACTAATCCAAGCATCTCCTGAATCACTTGCTCATTATCTTTTGGAAGCACCGATATTTTAATCACAAGAATTAATGGAGTGATTGTCAATGATGCTAAACAAAGAGGGGTGAGCGGGGCCCTGCTTACCTCTGGCCCACTGGGAAAGGTCCTGAAAACCTCCTCCTTCAAAGCAACAGCTCTGCAGCCTCCTCTGCACGCTCCCTATGCGGCTTGCATGGGGGCTTGGGGTTTGGAGGGTGAGACCTGCTGGAGTAAGCTGAAGTGGAGGGCGAAACTGACTGCTCTGCCCCAGTTTGAGCTTTCAGGGAGTCCCAGACTAGCAGCCCACAAGAATGTACACTCAGATCCACCTGAGTTCGCCTGTTACGAACCTCAGCGGTTTTATTGGTGAGAACACTCAGGAGGCCCCTCTGCAGAGATAACCCTTCACAAACAGCACTGTCACGTAGAGGTACACCCACAAGCAACAAGTTTCTGAACATATAGAGAGTGTTTTATAGGCTTCTAGTGACATACACAGGAACAGAACAGAGGATGAGAAAATAAAGGGCACATAATGCATTCACACACCAAAACAATATGAGAGATCTGCAGAGGGGCATGAGCCAGTATTGGTGATTACAGAATATTGACATGACAATCAGTAAAGTTCATGAATCTTTATAGGTCTGGAGTTTAAACTGGCAAATGACAATGATAGTCATATTACCAGAAAACTGGTCTGACAGCTTGCTGCAGCTGCTGCTGGGGAAGCATGACGATGTCTTAACTTTTCTGGAGTGGCTCACCTGGGAACACAGGTTCTGCATTCCACAGAGGATTATCTTTGCAACATTTAATAGCACCCATAACACCGTTATAAACTGTGGGTATTTATACTTTCATTTCATTGTTGTTTGCAAATCATGCAAAAATGTCCTGTTTACATACCCTAATACAAACACAGACAGGACAATGGTCTCCTAAAATGTTAGCAAATTCCTGAGCTTGCATTCATGTTGTAAAAAAAAATGCTTTACACAGCTTTACACATTTTAGTGCACTTTAAAAAATGTACATTTTCCCCATTTGAGACAAAAAAAGAGAACAAACAAATGCTAGAAACTAGGCAAGTTAAGCATAGAGTTGGTGTTTGGAATATCTGGGCAAAAAAGATTTGATAATATGTTTTGCAGAAGCTGGATGAGTAACCCTGTCCTGTTTTCCAAAACAGCCCCAACCTTGCTGTCTTATCCTTTTGCAGACCCTGCATTTTTATTTGAAGACTTGTTTTCCATAGTTAATGATCCTGTTCATCACTCAGTAAAAATCTTAATGCTCTTTATCATATTTTCAGTTCTAGACCACAATCAGATGAGTCCAAGAGCTGCTGAAGGTCCAGCTCCAAATCTCCCTGTTGGTTGCAATGTGGCCACATTAGGTCTGGCTCTACCAGTGCTCTAAAACTGAGCCCAGGAGTTCAAAGTCTGAAGAAGCCTGCCTTTGACTGAAACAGGTTTGCAGGCTACTTCTTCTCACCGAAGTGCAAATCCCCCTGAATGGACAAGAGGAAGCATTAGCAGTAGGTCGGGTGGGATCTTGCAGATGGTGGCCAGGCAGAGAACATTCCTTGCCTCCATAGCTTTCGAACTGCGGTTTTCCATGTTCATCTCCTAATCCAAGTACTGCATTTAGTGAACCTCAGTTGAAAAGGAGATTTGACTTTGGCTGTTTTTGGAAGAGAGGGAAAAGAGAGGAAAAAGAATAAGAAAGACTGCAAGAATGTCATGGAATACAGTTGAACTAGCTGGACTAAGAATTAGTCCAATTATCAGACCAATTTCCAATTATAGGAAACATAATTTCTGTGGCACAAGCCTATTGGCTAGAACAAGACTGAGTTTTATTACCACATATACACCCACATCTCTGAAACCTTACTGGTCATTTGGCAACCAACAGAATGCTGTCAGGAAATGGCTTGAAACCAGGCCTTCTCAGTGGTGGCACCTGTCCTTTGGAGCACCCCCCCCACACACACACACACACACTTTTGGTGCCAGAGACAGAACTCGTGACATGCTTCAAATACCTCTCAAAAACAAATTTCCTTTTCCAGGCCCATATTGGATTATGTTATTGCCCTGTTTCATTGCTCTTTTTTGTAATATTGCTAGTTACAATATTGTGGAATTCTTGAAACCTTGTGGAATTCTATGACAAGGATTCAAGGTGGCTGGACAGAGGAGACACAGAGGATGTGGTTTACCTGGATTTCAGCAAGGCCTTTGACAAAGTGCACCATGATATCCTGGTGGAGAAACTGAGGAGTTTTGGGATACACCAAAGCACTGTCTGGTGGATTAGGGCATAGTTGACGGGCAGGGGACAACAGGATGGTGTTCAATGTGGATAAGTGCCAGGTCTTGCACTTGGCATAGGAATGGGTGTCATAAGTACAGGTTAGGGGACAAGTGGCTGGAGAGCAGCACTTGTGAAAGGGATCTTGGGGTGCTGGTTGACTGCAGGCTAAACATGAGTCAGCAGTGTGACGCGGTGGTCAAGGGGGCGAACACCACCCTTGTTTGCATAGCCAGAAGTGTGGCTTCTAGATCGAGAGAGGTATTACTGCCACTCTATATGACTCTGGTGCGCCCGCAACTGGAGTATTGTGCTCAGTTTTGGGCCCCTTGTTACAGGAAGGATATAGCCAGGTTGGAGTCAGTGCAGCGTAGGGCCACAAGGTTGGTGGCCAGTTTGCAGGGAATGCCGTATGAGGCGAGACTGAGGGAACTGGGTCTCTTCAGCCTGGAGAGAAGGAGACTCAGAGGGGATCTGTTGGTGCCATAAAGTATGTGAGGGGGTGTCACATGGAGGTGGGAGAGATCTGTTCTCCCCTGCAGAGGAAGGCAGGACGCGCTCCACAGAGCCAAGCTCCAATTTGGATACCAGGAAGTACTTCCTGACAGTTAGGACCTCAAGGGTATGGAATGGGCTTCCACAGGAGGTGGTTGAAGCCCCATCAAAGAGGGTGTTCAAGGATAGACTGGCCATGCACATGGTAGGCATGCCATGAGTGGAGCTGGCTGGAGTCCAGGGTCAGACTAGATGGCCCAGGAGACCCCTTCTGACTTACTCTGTTTCTTTGTTTCTTATCATTTATCATCATATCTTGTTTTCATGATGTTATATTGAACTTTTAATGTAAACCTCTTAGGGATTCTAGTATATATGGCATAAAAGTAGTTATCATCCTGTATTATTAACTGTACATGTAACAATGAGCTTCGGCAGCTTTACCTTTCAATATGACGAAACCTGTAGGCCCTTGATGGATGCAAGCAACTTGACGTATTCCTCCTTTTCATGGCACCTAAACAAGGAATGACAAAACCAACTAAAGCTATAGAGCACACTCAGGAAATATGTTCAGGAAATCTCTAGCTACTGCAGGGATACAGCTTTGCAATTTTATGTATTTTATCCCTCCCTCTCCCAGCTCCAGATAATTACAATTTTTATATATATTTTGTTTAGGTAAATGGGATACTCTTGCAAAAATATTTAACGCTTTCAATGAAAATCATGGTGTGTTTTTAAAGAATGCTAGGTTTGTTCAGGGGGCTTGCCTCCTCTGTGAGAGGCCGGGCCCTGGGAGAAGGCTCCCACCCACGCTGCCCTGTGCGCATGCTCCAGCCTTTGGAAAGCAGCAGTTCCATTGAGGACTTCAAACAGTTCTGGGGCAGCCCTGCTATCACCGCCCCACGCCTGATGAGCAGTGCCCCTCCACACCCATTCAGCCACGTGTGGAATATGGGGACATTGTGTGCTCCGGGTGCACGGCTGGACCGGGGCTGCACCTGACTCTAGTGGACGGGGGCGGAAGGGGAGTTACCCTGTTCAAATGCCAGAATAAGCACCACCCTGTATGTCTGTGCAGGTTTCTTGTGGAGAGCTTGGAGTCTTAAATTACAGGTGTTAAATTACAATAAGTTGCATTCTGCATACAGACTTTTCCTGTAATACCACACATTGATTTTCAGCTCCAGTATAATAGCCTGGGAAGGAAAACATTTATTTATTTATTTATTTATTTAAAACATTTCTTTGCCGCCCCCATTGCAACAAAGCCTCGGGGCGGCCACAACAAAAACAAAAACAAACAAAATCATACAAAAATTATACACTAAAAATATTAAAACCCGGTGCATCTCAGCTTAAATTTTTTTTAAAATCCTACATAATAAATTAACACTTAAAATAAGTTTTAAATAAAAAGGACTTAGCCTGGCGCCGAAAAACAAATAACGACTGTGCCAGGCAGACCTCTCTGGGGAGCACATTCCATAGGTGGGGCGCCACCGCAGAGAAAGCCCTCCTCCGGGTACTCACCCTCCTAATATCATTCACGGAGGGTTCCCAGAGAAGGGCATCTGTTGCTGATCTCAAGGGGCGGGAGGGCATATATGGACGCAAGTGTTCCTTTAGATACCCAGGGCCCAAGCCATTGAGGGCTTTATAGGTCATAACCAACACCTTGAATTGGGCCCGGATTTCAATCGGGAGCCAGTGGAGCTGACGGAGAACTGGGGTTATATGAGCACAACACCCAGTCCCCATCAGCAGCCTGGAAGCTCTATTCTGCACCAATTGAAGTATCCGGACTGTCTTCAAGGGTAGCCCCATGTAGGGCGCATTGCAGAAATCTAATCGGGAAGTTACCAACGTGTGTGTCACTGTCGCCAGGCAGTCGTTCTCCAGGAAGGGACACGGCTGATGGATCAGCTGAAGGAAGGCGCTCCTCGCCATGAACCTTCAGCCAATCCTTGTTGTTGTTGCTAGTCATGAAGTTGCATCCGACCCATCGTGACTCCATGGACAACATTCCTCCAGGTCTTCCTGTCCTCCACCATCCCCCGGAGTCCACTCAAGCTCACACCAACTGCTTCAGTGACTCCATCCAGCCACCTCATTCTCTGCCGTCCCCTTCTTCTTTTGCCATCTGTTGTTCCCAGCATTAGGCTCTTCTCCAGGGAGTCCTTCCTTCTCATTAGGTGGCCAAAGTATTTGAGTTTCATCTTCAGTATCTGGCCTTCTAAAGAGCAGTCAGGGTTGATCTCCTCTAGGACTGACCGGTTTGATCGCCTTGTGGTCCAAGGGACTTGCAGGAGTCTCCGCCAGCACCACAATTCAAAGACTTCAATTCTTTGGTGCTCAGCCTTCCTTATGGGCCAACCTTCACAGCCGTACATTGCAACTGGGAAAACCATAGCCTTGACTATACGCACTTTTGTTGGCAGCTTGATGTCTCTGCTTTTAAGTATGCTATCTAGATTTGCCATAGCTTTCCTCCACAGGAGCAAGCGACTTTTAATTTCTTGGCTGCAGTCCCCATCTGCAGTGATCTTGGAGCCCAGAAAAATAAAATCTGTCACTACCTCCATTTCTTCCTCATCTATTTGCCAGGAAGTGAGAGGAATGGATGCCATGATCTTAGTTTTCTTAATGTTGAGTTTCAAGCCAACATTTGTACTCTCCACCTTCACCTGCATCAAGTGGCTCTTTAGTTCTTCTTCACTTTCTGCCATGAGAGTGATATCATCTGCATATCTGAGGTTGTTGATATTTCTCCCAGCAATCTTAATTCCAACAGATGATTCATCTAGCCCCACCTTTCTCATGACGTGCTCTGCATATAAGTTAAATAGGCAGGGCGACAGTATACAGCCTTGCCAAACTCCTTTCTCAATTTTGAACCAATCAGTGGTTCCCTGTCCAGTTCTCACTGTTGCTTCTTGACCTGCATGTAGGTTTCTGAAGAGACAAATAAGATGGTCTGGTACTCCCATCTCTTTAAGAACTTGCCACAATTTGTTGTGATCCACACAATCAAAGGCTTTAGCATAGTCGATGAAGCAGGAGAAGATGTTTTTCTGGAACTCCCCAGCTTTCTCCATGATCCAGCGTTTGTTGGCAATTTGATCTCTAGTTCCTCTCCCTCTTCGAAATCCTGCCTGTACTTCTGGTAGTTCTCGGTCCACATACTGCTGGAGCCTAGCTTGTAGGACTTTGAGCATAATTTTGCCAGCATGTGAAATGAGTGCAATCCTGTGGCCACTGTTGTGTTTTCCAAATTTGCTGGCATATTGAGTGTAGCACTTTTACTGCATCATCTTTTAAGATTTTGAATAGCTCAGCTGGAATACTGTCACCTCCACTAGCTTTGTTGTTGCTCAGACTTCCTAAGGCCCATTTGATTTCACATTCCAGGATGTCTGGCTCGAGGTCAGTGACCACCCCATCGTGGTTATCAGGGATGTTAAGCTCTTTCTTGTATAGTTCCTCTGTGTAATCTTGGAATCACTTCTTAATCTCTTCTGCCTCTGTTAGGTCCCTGCCATTTTGGTCCTTTAGCATGCCCATCTTTGCATGAAACTTTCCCTTCATATCTCCAATTTTCGTGAAGAGATCTCTGGTCCTCCCTATTCTATTGTTTTCTTCTGTTTCTTTGCACAGTTCATTTAAGAAGGCATTCTTATCTCTTCTAGCTATTCTCTGGAATTCTGCATTCAATTGGGTGTATCTTTCCTTTTCTCCCTTGCCTTTCGCTTCCTTTCTTTCCTCAGCTATTTGTAAAGCTTCCTCAGACAGCCATTTTGCTTTCTTGCATTTCTTTTTCTTTGGGTTGGTTTTAGTTGCTACCTCTTGTACAATGTTGCGAACTTCCATCCATAGTTCTTCAGGCACTCTGTCTATCAGATCTAATTCCTTAAATCTATTTGTCACTTCTACTGTATATTCATCAGGGATATGATTTAGGTCATACCTGAGTGGCCTAGTGCTTTTCCCTACTTTCTTCAACTTAAGCCTAAATTTTGCAACAAGAATCTCATGATCTGAGCCACAGTCAGCTCCTGGTCTAGTTTTTACTGACTGTATAGAGCTTCTCCATCTTTGGCTGTAGAGCACATAGTCAATCTGATTTCTGTGTTGACCGTCTGGTGATGTCCATGTGTAGAGTCGGTCTCTTGGGTTGTTGGAAGAGAGTGTTTGCTATGACCATCGTATTCTCTTGACAAAATTCTACCAGCCTGTGCCGTACTTCATTTTGTACTCCAAGGCCAAACTTGCCTGTTATTCCAGTTATCTTTTGGCTTCCTACTTTAGCATTCCAATCCCCCATAATGATAAGGACATCATTTTTTGGTGTTAATTCTAGAAGGTGTTGTAGGCCTTCATAGAACCAGTCAACTTCAGCCTCTTCAGCACCAGTGGTTGGGGCATAGACTTGGACTACTGTAATGTTGAACGATTTGCCTTGTAATCGAACTGAGATCATTCTGTCATTTTGGAGACTGTATCCCAGTACTGCTTTTCCTACTCTTTTATTGACTATGAAGGCTACTCCATTTCTTCTGAGGGTAGTATACCTGATGGTCATCTGAATTAAATGCACCCATTCCTGTCCATTTTAGTTCACTGATTCCTAAGATGTCGATGTTAATTCTTGTCACCTCTTGTTTGACTACATCCAGCTTGCCTTGATTCATGGATCTTACATTCCAGGTTCCTATGGAGTAAAGATCTTTGCTACATCAGACTTTCCTTTCACCACCAGATGCATCTGCAACTGAGTGTCCTTTCAGCTTTGACCCAGTCACTTCATTCTTTCTGGAGCTACTAGTATTAGCCCTCCGCTCTTCCCCAGTAGCATATTGGACACCTTCTGACCTGAGGGGCTCATCTTCCAGCATCATATCTTTTTGCCTTTTGGTACTGTTCATGGGGTTTTCATGGCAAGGATACTGGAGTGGGTTGCCATTTCCTTCTCCAGTGGATCACCTTTTGTCAGAGCTCTCTGCTATGACCTGTCCATCTTGGGTGCCCCTGCATGACATAGCCCATAGCTTCATTGAGCTACGCGAGCCCCTTCACCACAACAAGGCAGTGATCCATGAAGGAGGCAGTGATTCTTAACTGGCTATAAATACACACCTTTCTTCCAACGGAGAAACAGAAGAAAAACGATCAACAGAAGAGGAATGATCATCAGAAGCCACACAGTGGGGTTGCTTGATAGGTTTGTCACAGAAGAGGAATTTAGGGGTGCAGTAGAAGCTGTAGAGAAGAAAAGAGACCATCTTGGTTGAAATTTCTACCTGGGCAATACTGAATGTGATGATATGCAAATGTGTCAGGCTAAGGTATAAATCAAGATTGGAGGAAGCCAGTACCCCTCAAAAGTGGGACTTGTGCCACATTCCTCCAGCCTCTTCCATCTCAAGTCTAAGCCCTTCTTGTCTGGAAAGCTAAATGGAGCTTCCATGTTCAGAGGCAGTATACTTCTGAATGAAAGGTGAATGGTACAAAGGGCAGGGATAAGCCGTTGCCTTGATGCCATGCTGGAAAGTCTCCTAGAGACACTGAGCTCAAAACAGTGCTGAACAGACAACAACAGGGATGGGTAATAGGTTGCTGTGTGTGGCCTCATCACTACCCAGTGCAGTTGCAGTTCCTTAAAAAATTGAATTTTCTGCTTTTTTTTTAGAGAAAAATGGTGTCCATAACACTACAAAGCTCTGAAACAATCAAATGTAGCCCTTTTGTTCCATAACTCCCATGGAACCCTTGAAAGATTGAAATTAGTTTGCAAACAAGATAAATTTAACTATTGTGGTGCTTTGTAGGGATATGGGTGCCAGATTGTCCCTTTTTTCCAAATAAATAAATAAACCCAGCTCAGCTGACAGCCTGTAGCAGGGCAAGGGGTGTCCAGAAGGCTACAATCTAGACCAGGTTGCCCCCAGACCCCCTGAAGTTGCCCATCCTTGGGCTATGTGTTCAAGGCCACAGACTCAGTAGAGGCAACAATTTCAACTCCAGACCCGACCCCCCAAATAATTCCATTCCAATTAATTTCCCCACCCAGAGTCACCAAATCAATTCATGCAGGCATCCTTCATCGAGGGTCACTCTTCCCTGCAAGTTAAAACTAGTGTTCCAATTTGTGCAATGGCTGCAGCTTTCTGGATACTGCGGTTTGAGGGTGGCTAGCCACCATTATTCACATTGAGACATTGACATTATTCACATTGCTGCCTTGAGACGATCCTAGTAGGTGATATATAAATGAAAATATAAACAAACTAACAAAAATTTATTTTCATACTGGAGAAATGCACTTCTCAGTGCTCCTTCACGGGAAGCTGTGCCTGTAGAACAGGCACAAAAGTGATGGAGATGGAGATTCAGCATTGCTTTGAGCTGAAAAGTCATCAAAGCAAACAGAACTCACCTTGGAGTGGATCAAAGCTTGCTGTGTTGTTGTTGGGACAGCAATGCATCATTTCATTGACAGGGTCCATCCATTTATATAAGCCATTCTCACTTCTCACATACAAACACATCAGATTGGAGGTCTTTTGGGTTCCCTGGCAATCCCCAGGTGAATGCAGTTGCTGTTCCAGATGCTCTCCAGATGATGTGCAATAAATAGCATCACTCTGCCTCTTGCAGCTACATTCAGGATTTGTGTCTGGAAAAGAGGTTGGCGAACTAGTTAGGACTGGGCTTCTAAAGAACAGAACAAGACGGGAATGGCTCTCAGACTCTAAAGGACTGAGTGCATCCGAGGGATGCTGCTGCCTCAGAAGCAAGGCGGTGATTGCTACATTTTTACTCTTCCAGCCCTCCGAGAGGGTCAGGGATATACACATTCTGTTCAGCCAATAGCAAGGCCGGCGCCTGAGTCAGAGGCTGTATCTTAGGTGATGTCTGTCCATTTTCCCAACTACGTCTTCATCCTTACAACTGAAAAGAGTCTAACAGTCCAATACACCCACCCTCACTTTCATGTCTCCCTTATTAGAGGGGTGGGAAACTGCTGGCTCTCCCTGTGCTTCTAGACTGAAGCTCCCACAATTCTTCACATGAGCTGCATTTGCTATTACTGATGGTGGTTGAACTCCAACAAGGTCCATGCATTTCCCATGCATTTTGTTAGGTTGCTTTCACCAGTGTCCACCCACCAGCTGAATAAACACCACCAGTACAACCAATTCCTTTTCCACCCAGCAGCTCAGTATCCAGTCCCAAACTTGCTCCAGGGCATTGGGGGACCATCCAGACCAGACTGAGTGCAGGTGGGGGAAGAGGAATGGGAAGTCCTGTCACATGAGTGGATGTCCACTGGCTTGATGTCGGATGTAGCTCCTTACAACCTATCTGCTGGCAGATTTTTTAATGGCCTCAGGATCACTTGTCTGATGTCAGTTTATTAAGGATTGCTAAAGGGCACCCTTTAAAATGGCAGCATCTTTTGTCATTAACTTCAGTCCCTCCACAGTCAAATACAGAGTGTCCTTGATGTCCTTTACTCATTGGCTCATACTCACCGACAACCTTTAGCTCTATTATCAGACTTCCTTCCCCGTCATCAAAATAAAGAGTGCACGTATAATTTCCTTGGTCAGCATATTGTGCTTCTTTGACATTCAGGGTGAAAGATGTGTTGTCCCTTGCCAGTGAAATTCTGTCATTGTTGTCACGTGTCATGCTGTTTCTGGCCTGTGTGTTGAAGTGTCTTCCTTCAGGATGCCTTTCCATATCAAAGCAGAATTCTTCTTTCATATCTTTAATAAAGATGTTACCCTTCCAAGTAAGGGTGATGTTCTTCCCATGTTGTGCAAAAATGGCCACTTTATGTGTGAAACTGACAATCTCTGAGAGAAAACAGGAGACACACCAGTGCAGTGGTTAGTTCAAGCACCAGGCCTCGCTCGCTCATCAGAACCAAACGGCTGCCTGTGTCAGTGAGGGACAGGCACCGTTCAGCCCGTTCTCACAGGCCGTGTGTGCGGAAAGCTCACGTTCAGCCCTGAGGCTCCCAGGCAGTGGGAAAGAAGACTAGAAAAGACGACTCCCGGTGGCCCTGGGAGGACAGCTGCCAGTCAGCACGGACAGCTGTAGACAATACGGATCAATGGTAAAGCAGCTTCAAATGTTCACGTTTTGGGGGGTCACTCAGCCTGGGCTCCTCTCACTGGGCAACTTGCCCTCTAATTCAACCTTCTATCATCATCCATATCTAAAATCCGCTGGATGGGCCTCCCATCCCTTATCTTTGACACGAAAGCCAGAATAGCCAGTTTCTCCTTAATGGAATGAACTGATTCCTTGACCATAGAGCAATGCAGAATTGCATCAAACGCTCAATTGGGGCAGGCCAAACATGCCCCAAAGTGGCATCCTTCCGTGACTGTGAGCATTTCTTCTACTGGCACCTGGTTCTGGTGCCAACAATTTCATCTTCCAACTAGGCTGCACCCTTGTAAGATTCCCCAGCTTGTCTGGCAGTGCTTCGTTGTGCCCTTCGCTGCTGGTGCAAGCCAGCAGAACTGCTCTATTTTTGGGATAGCATCAGCAACACCACTGCTCAATACGGAATGTGATGAGAGAGGAAATGGACGTCACATTCAAACAGTGAAGTGTAAAAGGCCTTGACCAATCCCAGGGCGACCTGGATGTGAGTTGATGACATGTACAATGACCAGTGGTGACCTCATCCATACCAGAAATGAACTGAGCAGCTAGCAAACTGCTTAGTCCATGACTAAAAAGCCAACACCATGGGGAAAAAATCATGAACAATTAAGATTCTTGGTGATCCCATTCAGAGGATCATGCCTACCCCAAAACTAGACTGCAAGCCCGGTAGACCCTACAACATCTGGCTGAAGCAGCAGCTTTGCTTCTAGTCCCACACTGTCACGTCAGAAGCTCCTCCACCTCATGCAGTGGAGCAGCCTGCAAATCAGGCCACATCTGAGCTGATATCTGAATACAGGCATGCAAATGCGTGACCCCACACATGGCCTCCAGAAGCTATGCAAAAGCTGTGGCAAAGTTAACCTGGCCCTCCAGCTCCTGCAAGTCACAGATTGCCAATTCGTAACCCCAAGGCAATTCCACTAGGCAAGCACTGAACTGATCTTCCATTGAAAAGGGAAGTCTACATAATTGTTGTTCAGGGTCAGTCTCAATACTCTGGAAGATGAATTGCATAAAAGAGTGCAGGTGACAACTTGGATAAGTCTTCTGAGACCTACCAAGATGTTGCCAGATTGGCAAACCTGAGCAGTCATGGGCTCCTGCACCAAAACACATGGCGAATTAAAAAGTCAAGAAAATAATGGGTGCTGGTTTGGTGGCTGAAAGGATGCCTCAAGGTCCATGCAAGGAAAGTGCGACACCTCTCAAAGGACACACAGGACCCTGAACAGCACACAGGCAATGCCCTATGTAATTAAACTTCCCTTCAAAAGAAAACCCCACAGACTCAGAACTGACAGGCACAGGTAGGTCCTTGAATGCCCACTCACCCTACCACTGGCTACTTCTTTGGCAAGCTTTCTATGCACCACCTCCTGCTTACCCTGGATGGAGAGTAAGCGAGCAGCCATGCGCAGGGGATGCCCACCGTGCTACAGTTATCTCAACTGAGATATTGAATCCGGCTATTCTGCACACTCCTAGTTGGGGGATACTTGAAACAGTTTAAATGATGCTGGGCCCTTTTATGGGGGGCAGAGGGGGGGCGGTGTCATTGGCCATCCACTTTCTCTGAGTTTCCAGGTCATTAAATGGCCACTCTCTACTCTTACTGCAGCCTCTAAATAGGTGACCCCCCCCCCCCGCAATATTCTGCATGCATTCCAGTAATGCCAAGGACAGCTCTCCCAGGACCCTCGGGGACTGACTTCCCAGCACAGTTCAAGCCGCCTGCCCCACCTCATGGGAGTAGCTGCCAACAGTCACAGAGCAGGGAACCAGCAACAGTGACCTGACGGACTGGCCTGCAGGTGTCACAATCTGCAGCTGTTGCTCATCCCACTGGATGGTGCTGTTAATCGCTGCCTGCATTTTGAAGGCCCCATCATACTGAAGCCAACCTGGACCAGACCATCCCAGAAAAGGCAGAGACCAGGTACTCCACGGATGGGTCCTTACTAAGGTGAGGAGAGCAGGCGGCCAATTGCTCCCTTTCCTAATGTTTTCTTTAGTGGAAGGGAGCAACAGCAAAGCTAGCCTGCCATAGAGTAAAGCCCAAAAGGGCACTGGATTACATCCCGTGTCAGGCAACCCAGTGGCTAGGTATTATATTATTATTTCACAATTCTGTCCTGCGTTTCTGCCTCTTGTAAATGAACCCAAGGTGGCTAACGAGCTTCTCCTTTTCACTTCTTCTCACAACCACCACCCCCTAGGTTAGGCTGAGAGGCAGTGATTAGCGCAAAGTCCCCAAGTAGGCTTCATGGCTGAATGGGGACTAGAGCCCAGACCGCCTGAGTCCCAGGCCCCTTCTTAACCAGTACTGCACGCTGGCTCTCCGTTCCACAGTTGCCCATAAGTGGCCGCCTGCTGATCATACGGCCATGGTAAACTCACACCCAGCTCTTGGCTTAATGCCCCCGTGTGTGCCCACTTGGAGCAGAGTAGCCAGACCGGAGCTGCTGGGGGAGCAAAGGCCTGACTGCAAGAGCTCAGCTGTCCTCTCTGTGTTTGCATACACCACACACGGTCTGTGGGCTGCGTGAGGCCCCCACTGCCATCCAACGTGCTGCCTAGACTGCAAAAAAGAGAGGTGCAAATCTGGCAGCAAACTCCTACGGAGGCTTAGAACTGACACATTTAGTTTGTGTTCAGGATAAATTTGCTCAGCTTGCCCCTCCGTATTGGAGACTCTGATCTGAATGTGCCTCATTCCCCCTGTTCCCCCCTCAGTATGAGGGAACCACTGGCCTGCAGCGCTCTGCCAGTGGAATTGGGTCCCCAGGCTGTTCACAGGCACACATCCTGGTGCAGATGCTGTACTCACCGCTGCTCTGCTTGTGCACACAGAAAGCGCTCCTGGGCTGCTTAGGAGGGGCCACTTCAGGCACAACAGGCACTGTCCTGCACATGCACAGAGTGTTCGCCATCTTCCCTAAATCAGACAAACAAGTGACAAAGTCAGAACCGGCACTGAGCACTTCGGGCTGCCTAGCCAACCCTGTGGCCACCTGCACAGGCCAAGGATCGCCAGCTCATCTGATTCCCTTTGCCTGACCCGAATCCTAGCCAGGGGCATATTATAGTGAGGCCTGTTGTTCTCATTGGACGAAAATGAAATGGAGGACCTTTGAACAGAAGTCCGTTCCCTTGTCCTTTCTTTCTTTAACTGATTAAGGGGGGAAAGCCACAGGAAAGGGTGACAGAAAGTGAGGCAATAACAGCTGGAGACAGCAGCCTTTTTTTTTCCTTAGCTGTTTATTCATTTCTGTGTATATTAGTCAAAATTGTATGTTTCTCCAGTGACTAAAGCACAGAAGTGTCTATGTGTTTTGAACAATGAATTTCAAAGTATGCATTAAAATTGTGTGTTTCTAGTGTGAGAGGCACATTAGTACATATTTGGGGATTTGTGAACATTTCTTAGAGAAAAATGCTCATGTTCAGGTTTATGAACAGGACCTGTTTGCATGATCTGTGAACAAAACATGGGTTGAGGTGGGCTTCCAGAAGCCAGGATCTAACTTTCACACCTGACCCCTATCCCCTATCCCCTATTCCCTCTCCTGGCTCATTGTACCGCATGCCATGAACTTCAACACGGCTCAGTGGAAACAGAAAACTCACCACTGTGAATACTACCTGGAGAAATGGCCAGAAATAGGAAGCACAGAGGCAAGACCTGCAGAGGTGCCATCTGACAGTGTGGAGAAATTGCTACCATCGACTGCTCCAGGTCAGGACTTTTGCCAGAAGAGGTTTTATAAGCTGAGTCACACCCCTGGGAAAGCCACCTGAAAAGAAGTGAACACATAATAGAATTCCAGTCCAGTTTTAAAAAGACTACTCTGATAAGTATCATTTGCATTCAAAAGGTGATGCATGAACAGCAAAATGGAGAAGAGTGGATGCCCATCATAATATCGGGGATGGGAAGATGGAAGACACGGATATGACCAGTTTGCTCTAGTCAGGCTTCCAGCATATCTTTAAGCTCTACATATGAGCATGACAGCTCCACATGAACACAAGCCTGCACACGCGAGTATGCAAGATAGCACCTCCTCTGTCTGTAGATGCTCTCTCTGTGGGTTCTAAATCCCAGGGAGAAACTCCATGGCTGGAGAGATCTCCCTTGCAGACAGTCACCTTTCATGGGCAGAGAGGAATGAGAAGGCTGATGCGAGTGGAGCGAGAACACTTGTCTCCATTCCCCCTTCTCACAGGTAGGGCTGACACATGTGCTGACCGCATGAATTGGTGTCACAGAAGGGGATTTTCCAATTGCTCAGTTGGAAGAGAACCTACTGGTGGTGGAGGCCATCCAATGATGGAAGGCAAAGCACTTTTTTTCCATCTATCCCCCTCAAAGGCAGCCCAATATTCCAATGCTCATATATTGGAATATTTATCATTGGAAATACCCATTGGTCTTGCAACCCAGGGCAAGCCTTGTCCAAGAATATTGCAAAATGAGGCGATAAAATCCTGAAGGGACAAAATAAGCCCTATTATCTCAGACTTCAGGCAGGATCCAGTTTTGATATTGTTTTTCCTCTTCACATTAAAACAGACCCACACTATTATCAAATCTCTTTTTTGTCATAGTTGTTTTCAACTTATGAAGAGATGGTGGCTTTAGTGGTCGTCATTCTAGAATATGCTTAGCACATCCCTGCCCTCAACAAATACCTGAGAGATATACAGTAAAAACAATCTGAAGACTGAAATACATAACATTTTAAAATACCTGAAACATTGTTGAAAAGGAGGATGTATAATTAAAAAAGGAGCATTGACACAGTTCTTATTATGGCCACATGGACTTCAGTGGTCACCTAAAGGATACTGAAGAGGAGGCTCTCCTTCCTTCTGTGAAGCGACCTTTACATAAAGGACCTTTCCACACTGGGGACCACACCTGCAGTCGGAAGTGGCTCGGCCCATTCTATCGCCCAGTTGTGCTGGAGGTGTAGACTCTGCCTTGCTTGGGCTCAGTGCAGTCATGAGAACCTCCTTGTCATCTTGAGGAAAACAACACTAGGAGATCCTGCAGAATGCCCTGAGATGGAACCCTGCTGCTTTGAGTTGCGAGATATGCATTCAGGTAGGGAATCAGCATCCGGGTAAGACACACTTTTACAGACTACTCTTGGGTAGGTGTCATCTGCAACAAAACTCAGAAATCTGGGACTCTAACTTTAGAGCAATGAAAAACTTACTAGGTTTCCTCATCAGACAATGAAAATAACTGGTGGTGATACTCTTTGTAGGGTATTGAGAGGATAAGTAAGGCAATTAAACTAAAGCAATTTGTATGTAAGAGGTCATCATGATTTGTAAATACTGAATCCTGTAGCACTAGCCTTGGGGAAATCTGTGAAAGCCACTATGGGACCATTAGGCTGGCGAATAGGAAACTTGTGCACAGAACTGGCAAAGTGTTGTGTAATTTTCTTCTTAGCCAACAGGGGGAGCGCTGCCTCTATTTTACCTTGAAGGAAAAGAAGATCTACTACCCGTGTTTCCCTGAAAATAAGACTTAGTACTATTTTTGGTTCTTGCTAAAATATAAGACCTACCCAGAAAATAAGACCCAGCTGTGTTTATTCCCAGGGCCAGTGGGGAACATGAAGAGCCATTTTAAACTTTATTTTTTAACTTAACTTTAACTTAATGCACTGTGTGGAGGAAACACGTGTATGCAGCTCTGCTCCCTCCATAGGCAGCGGAGGGAGCAGAGCCGCATGAGCCGATGCTTCCTCTATAGCGCCGGCTCCTGTCACAGCCGGAGTGATACCAAACGCACTCCGCCTGTGAGGAGTCGATAGTGAAAGCGCGCTTCGCTCATTCTGATTGGTTACCAAATTGCTCTTGGGAAGGAACGGCACCCCTGATTGCCCTGATCACCCTATTCTTCACTTTGCCATTCACTCCTGTCTTGTAAGTCTTCTACCCGTACAGTATTGTGGTGTTATGGTATGGTACCATATTTAATGGCTGATTTAAACAGAATATTATTTTGACCCCCAGACAAGATGAGTGCAAAAAGAAAGAGCTGTTCCATCGAGTACAAGAGGACTCGTGCGGCAAGAATCGTACAGCTTACTGCAAAGAGAAGTTGGATCTCTGACTGGTCCGAAAATGGTGAGCAGATTACCGTGTTTCCCCAAAAATAAGATCTATCACGAAAAAAAGACCTAGTGTGTTTTTGTGAGCCAAAAAACATACAAGACAGTGTCTTATTTTCGGGGAAACACGGTATTATACAGTGGTACCTCGGCTCACGAACACCTCAGTTCATGACCAAATTGGGTCACAAACAGAAATTTCAGAAAAATTTTGCCTCAGATTGCGAATTCTGCATCGGGTGACAATGGCAATTCCGCCCGTCTTCCCTGCATGGGTGCGACTGCAATTGTGCTTGCAGGGGTGGGAAGGATGGCCGCGATCTTTGTTGTCGCTTTGCCTCAAATTTTTGTGATTAAAAAAATAGTTACAGAACAGATTAACCTTATTTACATTGAACCTTATGGGGAAATTTGACTTGGGTCAAGACCAGAGTCCTGGAACAGATTAAGTCTGTGAGCCAAGGTACCACTGTATTTGCTTCAGGTCAGCTGAACTAATAGTCATCAATGATCATTTCTCCTCAGATTATCTTCCATGATGCAGCAAACACTCCTGCTGAGGGGCTCTGAGCAGGGTCAGGGCCTTGCTGCAGATGGAGCAGGCTAAAATATGTTGGGAAATGTGGAATTCTGTGAATCGGGGTTGGTTAAGTAGCGCACTTCTTGTCCACACAGGGAAAGCACAATGAGAGGGTTTGCATGCCACAAGAACCCATTGTGGGGATGGGTCAGGCTGCGCTAGTGGCTGGAAGAAATGACAGACGACCAGGTGTATTGTGGGTGCTTCCTCTCCTTCACTTGCTCGATTGTCCAGGCAGTAGCTCGGGCAACACCATGGGAGGAACAAATCCCCTATTCCTTCCTGCTGCAAAGCCAAACAATTTTTGGCTCACCACAGTTGTTTTGTCCCTTTAATGTTCCCCCCCGCCCCAGCAACCAGGAAAGCTGTCCAAAGAGCTGGCTTCTTTAAAGCCACTTCGGGACAGGCAGGAGCTTCCTCTTCAAAGCTCCACAGCAGCACTTTAGAGGGCCTGCTACATATTTCTGTAAAGGATGTTGCATAACCAGGAAAGAGTTACTTTATCCAATTAGCTCAAATATGTTGTTGTGGGGATAAGATTGAGAGTGACAGAATCTCGGTTTTCAATTTGCAAAGAAATGAACACTCGGGTCTGCGGGGAAGATGAAACGTTTGAACCTCTGCGGCTTTATTGATCGGTGGCCCAGTACCTGCAGTCACTATAATGCATTACTGTGCAGAGGCAAACTCAACTACAAAATCACAGCCCGTGTACAGACACTTTTATAACCTGCTAGTCACGTACAGCAATACAGAGAGTTAAGTTTCCAGATAATGTTGGTACAATAGCATCTTGATGTCTTTAGGCATGACATAATGTTCTAAACTGATCAGAAATCAGTAAAAATAGCATGGAAAACATCACTGAATGCAGTATTGATAGGTCAATCTACAGGCCCTTACAATAATGAATATCCTGTCTGAGGCCACCATCCCTTCTGGTCAGCAAACTTGGGTTAGCCTGCTTTGCATGACGGGGAGCAGTGTGAGATAAGGCAATTGCTTGATGTCCACATCAGGTATTTGGCTTGACTTGGAAGCAATTTTTTGAGATTTCATTGTCGATGCTTCCATCAGTTTCTTCTGCTGTGGACATCCTTGCCTTTCACAGTATGCCTGGTTTGACTCCTTCGTTTCCTCCTTTGTTTGCAGGAGCAAGGCAGAACACAGAAAGGATTCCATCACAGCTGCTGCAGTTCCTGGAGCCAGGGCATAGCCTGAGACCTTGAAGGACTTTTCTCCCAAGGCTGGAGGGAAAGAGTCTTTTCTCTGGGGTGTCAGTGCGCCTGTTTGGTCACTCCGCTGTAATAGGTGGCACAGTTTGCCTGGTGTTTGGAAAAGTACAGCTCAAAAGCAGGTAAACTGAAGAAAAAGGCTTTTACATTTCTGCTGGTTGTAGGCAGGAGCAGAAAGATCCACATTAGTTTGGTGAGAAGGCTGGGAAAGAAGGTGTAAAGTCTTTGTCTTTTTTAAGCCTGGTTCCCACAAGTCTCTTTACCACAGTCTCCAAAACAAAAAAAATAATGTTTGGGTTGTTGAATTCTATTCAGCCAATGCCAGAAAATGCACACATAAAACCCCTTTGTTGATCTTGTGTGTTTCACAAACCAGCTGCTTGTCTGGGCTAAAAAGAAATGTGCTTTCTGATGGAGTCTGGACAACGAGAACATAGTTCCACAGAATTTCTTATTTACAGAGATGGTACTCTCCCAAATACATAGATACAGAGTGCTCCAAATCCACTGTGAATACATGCAAACCTGAACTAGCACATATTTCAACCAAGCAATCAATGCTTGGGCATTTATATGAAAACAAGTGCTTATGTTCATGGAAAGAAAAATTTTAGGAGGAGGAGTTTTGCCCCTTTGCCATTTCATCTGCCCATATCTTTGCACTAGCAAATGGGCTCAGCCCTCAGCAAACATTAGGCTACAGCAAAGTCTTGTTTTTTCTTAGTGCTATGAATTCAAAGTTTTCTTTTCCTTTAATGTTGGTATAATGCACACTCTACAGATTCCTTTTCTTGTGAATTTTGGGACCTGATCAGAAATATTTGGCAATATTGCAAACAGAAAAGAGG